GCAACCAAGCAACCATTTCGGATCATTTTCCAAGCTGCCATGGCAAAGATAATGCCCACTCGTTTTTAGCTTGTTCTCGATATAAAACTCAAATGGCTCTTCCCTCGGTGGTCGAAACTCAACCCTCTTTGCTAGACAATCAATCAATGCTTCGAGTTTGGACAAGTTATCCATTCCTAAAATCACATCAAAGTCTCGGATCCTCAACAAAATTAGATCAACTACCAAGACCCTATCACTAATCCATAATTTGTAATTTCGACCACATTCCTAGACTCCAATATCTCCCTCGACGGGAGGCCTACCTCATAGACAACACCGTGTGCCTCAAGCACAAGACCTAATTTTCTTAGCATAGACCATACAATGAATGAATGTGTGACACCGTAATCAAGAAGAGCATATGCAACTAAGTTAAGTATAAGAACATTATCGTAAATAACCGTCGCGTGCTCCTCCTCATCTTGTTCTTGCGTCATTGTGTATACTCTCCCTAAAATCCTTGATGCGTTGCACTTCTTTGGACAACTCGTTCGTCATGTTCCCGAGTTCCTTACAAAAATAGCAAGTGTTGGTACCGACCAAACAATCTCCAATGTGCTTGCGATTACACTTCACACAAGTTAGTTTATCCGGTGCCTTAGCCCTCTCGTCGCCTCTCGACCACTCTAGGCCTCTTAGCATCATTCTCGCTATTGTCTCGCATGTTGCCCTCTCTGCGCATTGTTCGATAAACCTTGATGTCACGTAGGGCCGTTTGGCTCCCCGTAACCTTGCAGCCTTCTTCTCGTCTCCCTCAATTTCCAAAGCCCGACCGACTATGTCACCGCAATCGACTGCGTACACTCGTACCAAACTTCGCAGCCTCCGGGTTGAAACCCCTCGAAAAAGCCCCTTCTTCTAGGCATCGACTCTCGAAATAAAAGTCGTAAATCGAAATGCATGTTCGAACTCGGGGATATACTCGACCACCGACATGTCTCCTTATTCTAGCTTCATAAACTTTTGTATCTTCCTTGATTTCACACATTCGAGAAAGAACTTCTCATTGAAGACTCCCTTGAATCGTGCCTATGTAAGGTTAGGCACATCCAAGGAAACCTTTGCCGATTCCTACCATGCTCGAGCATCATTAGTCGACATGAATACGACGCATCATACTCTATCCGCATCCCTCATTGCCATATGCTCAAAGATCATTTCTAGAGACTATCCATTCCTCGACGAACCATCAAATCAGCTTTGCCCTTAAATTCCTTCGGATCGAACTTTCGAAATCGCTCCACCATGTCAACCTTCTACGATAGGCTAGGCTCAACACGCGACCGTTGTATAGACATGAAGACTTGCATCCGTTCATCGTGCCTCTATTGTTGCTGTCGTAATAGTTCAAAGACGCGCTCCGCCGACATCCCACTATTCATAAATTCATTATTCGCTTCACGGTGGCTAGGCCTATGACTTGACCCCTCGCCATTGTGATTCCTCTTAGCAACACCCCCACCATTCTAATTTTTCTTAGCCATACTCGTTCTAAGCATAATAATTTCCATCCGATCACCGGATGCATAATGCCACACACAAGCCCATTCAACAATATTAGCGAAGCATCAAACATACAATATCGATGAGCATTAAACATATTAAGCAATTCATCAAGTAAATAAGTTATACATTCGTCAAGCATATAAACATTTCACATATTTCATCGAAGAAAGACATTCACACATGCTAAGTAAAATTTCACACTTTCATATCTAATGAAATTTAAGCACTTACACGTCGACGACGTTATTGGAGCTAGAGTTTACATGTACTTTCTTAGCCCACCGAATTGACTTACTTTGATACCATTTTTGTAATGCCTCGAGCCCTAAGAGGGAGGCTAGAGCACTACAGACAGCCGTCGAACATTCACGGACCGCTAGGCGTAGCCTGCAGCCCCACGCGACCACGTCCGGCGCTCGTTGAATGCACATCGATGCCCTATGACCTTAAACCATGCATGACACATGCAATGCACGACAGAAGACATTCGGCCCAAAAGCCCACTTAAAAACTCAATTTGTGTTTGAAACTTTTTCATCGACACAAAAGTTACGTCGCAACTCGGAATTTTACCGACGCAAAATCGCACTAGGCGACTTACGTCCGGGATAGCCTAAGTTTGTCAAAATTCATGACGACCTATTGTCATGTGGATTTGCAACGGAAACTAAGGGCCTACCTATATGGATATATCATGAATTCTTTACGTGGGATACCAAAACATTAAAAGCAACATAAACGTAAGAGACTCAAACTTTGGGCGTAATACTTCATTTTATTGAAAATAACTTTTTACATGCTTGTCTTGGCATTAAGGTCGTTACATTCAATATTTTACAACAAAACATGCTATAACATATGAATTCAAGCTAAACCTAGCCTATGACCTAAATGCCTAGACAAAAGTACACCTTTCGACAAACTCTCAAAAGCGTCCAAGCAGCCTTCGCGATAGCCTACACGCAAGCATAGTTGCAGCTTACCTACACCACAAGACATAAAGAATGAGCTAAAACTCGAAAGTGCTAAAACTCGAAAGTGTAATCATGCATGAGTTTATGGAAGCATAATGTCGTGCCGAAATACATTTTCTCGTCTTTCGGACATGCCCTACCGAATATCCGATCGGTCCTCTTTTAAAACCTTGAAAACCATGGAATTAGACAACGTCTAGCCAAGGATCGACCCACGAGTATACCCCGCATCATTCCCAAGGGTGGCCTCTCTATGTTCAACCCTCGAGTATACACCGCGATCATTCTCAAGGTTGACATTTCCATATTCGTGCATATTTCTTTTCTTGCTTAAAACATAAGTCATGAAATCGTTGTCATACCATGAATACATGTCTTTTAAATGCTTAAGTATCTAAATATCATCAATGCATTCAGCTAACATAAGAGTCCTAATAACCTCTACGCATTAAAGCTAATCCAAGACATGTTATAACTCATCGAAGCAATTTTGGCGTAATCATACAAGCATTTTCGACGGAATCATGTAGGCCAAGCAAATTCAGCAGAATCGCAGTTAAGCAAATTCAACGTAATCATAAGCTAGGCAGTTTCGACAAAATCGAGCTAAGCAAATTCGACGGAATCATAAGTAAGCATTTTCAGCAGAATCATACAAACCAAGCAAATTTTGCAGTAATCATAGTTAAGCAAATTTGGTAGAATCATAAGCTAGGCATTTTCGACAGAATCGTAGCTAAGCAAATTCAACGGAATCATAAGTAAGCATTTTCGATAGAATCACGACTAAGCAAATTCGGCAGAATCATAAGTAAGCATTTTCGACGTAATCACAAGCTAAACAAATTTGGCGTAATCATAAGTAAGCATTTTCGACGTAATACAAGCCAAGCATTTCGGAAGATATTTTCAACAAAATCATAATTAAACATTTTCGATAGAGTATAAGCCAAGCATTTCAACGGATGTTTTTGACGGAATCACGACTAAGCCAAGCAATTTTGGCGTAATCATAAACTAGGCAATTTCGACGTAATCATAAACTAGGCAATTTCGGCATAATTCAATCTAAGCTTAATGGTCGATCCTAAGTCCACATGCATCCAAGCTTTTAACCCTTTTATTCAGCAAACCAACACAAGAACAATCAAAGCTCAACATATCTAGAATGCCTAAACTTAGGTCTTGTAATGTAGTTGAGGGGATTACACTTACATGGTCCGAAGATATGAGATTGAAAAATGCTTCAATAAACCATAGTAGACCCTCCTCGGCACTTGGTTCGACTCAATTTCAAGAGTGGCGACAACTCCCTAAGTTACAAGCAGCTCCCACTCAAATTAACTCTCCATTTTCTCTTGTAGAAGTCTCAAATAGCCAAAAGAATCCAGTTATGGCCTCACTCTCCCTTTCTATAGGCGGTCATGCATGAAAGTAATGCTTGGAGGGTGACACCTCCTTGGCCAAGTCACCCATGCAATGCATGGTGGTGACACCTAGATTCTCACTCACTAAAGGAAAAGGTAAGTCCCTCTAATTTGTTTAATTTATGTTATCAAGTCCCTTAATTCAAGCACAAATCATAATTAATGTATCCTTAAGTGATTTTCAAAATAAAGGGACTAATATGTCTTTATGCATGGTTGGGCTTAAAATTCGTCAACGAAAACCGAGGCCACGACAGTGGTAGTTTTCGTCGACATAAACCGGAAGTCTAGACAATATTTTTCGTCAACGAAAGATGCCTTGTCCAAGCTTAGTCATTTACGGCGTACATTTCATATAGCATACTAGCATGACATTTTGCGGCAAAAATCTCGGTTAAGCATCAAACTCGTCAACAAAAGTAGCAAGTCTAGACGTAGCAGTTTCATCGACGAAATAAGCTTGTCTGTGCGTGGCGGTTTCGACGGGAAACGGCGCGACTGCTATTTTCGACAGCGACTTTAGCATGTCTTGACGCGACTGGCTTTCGACAACGAATCTCAAGCATTAGCAAAATTTAAGCCTCAATCATCAAGCAAATTAATTAGACATTAAGCTACACACACACAAAGCATGCATATGAAATGTTTCAACAACCTCGGTCGTTACAAAAGACACAACAACAAAAGTTCCCGTGCAAAATTAGGAACAAAACATAATAATCCATCTAAGAAGGCATAATTTGGGCCCTCATTTGCACCAAGCGGCTCCGCAAACGATGATAATGAAAAATTTAAGAAAAAATTACGCAAAAAAGGAATAATAACACAACACCAATTAATGAGGAGGCAAGAAAAAAGAAGGAAAAAAACATACCGGTACAATACCAATTAATAAAGAGGTCTCAAAGATGAAGAGAGATTAAGAGAAAGGAGACGGCATTGAAAAAAAAAAGACGAAGAGAAAGAAAAGGAAATGAAAATGGCAAGAAAGAAAGAAAGGGAAATAACAAAGGGAAAGTAAAAGACTAAAAAAGGTTGAAGAGAAACAACAATGATATGTGCCATGTTTAAGGGCGGAGAGGTAACTTCACAAAGAAAGGGTTGTGATATGTTTTAAAGCATGTTAATGGCAGAAGAGAAAATAACGAAAAAAGAAAGGGCGAAACATTCAATCACAAAGAACAGTAAGTGAAATATTTCACTTCTTTTAGTTTTTTTTTAATCTTGTTGGACCACATATCAAAGCCTGATGTTTTTTATTTATTTATTTTTTTCTATCGCAAGAAAATCATGGAATTAGTTTATATATTAATTAAAATTAATTTTTTTTTAAATAATTTTAAAGACGCAATTACTGTACTTACACGATACATTTAAAAAAAAATCAACAATTTTTTCTTAATATTGGTTCAAATTTTGAATAAAAAAAGATAGGAAAGAGATCAAATTTTCTCAACAATTAGCATTTGATGCGCACCCTCTCTCTGATTATGATGTGGGGGCAAAAACATCTTTCAATTTAGCAATTACTTGCAGGTTCTGGGCTGAAACCTAAGTAACATGCGCTTTGTTTTTTTCTTATGGGCTTTAAAATAACTTGTTTCCCTTGAGTTCTGAACCTATTACAGGCCTTTCTTGTAGGCCTTGTAGTTTTTGTTCATGTGTAACTACAACCCATTTTATCAGGATATGGATATTACATCCATATATTAATATCAAGCAAATTATAAATTACTCTGCTTTTAACTAATTAATTAATTTTTTATCTTTAAAAAATTAATTATTCAGCTCTTATATTTTTAAATTTTATTATTTTAATTTTTTAAAAATTTATTTTTATTTTATTATTATAAAAAATAAAAAATTCTAGAAAAAATAAAATCATATAAAATCAAACGTAATACTGACTAATGAATTAAATGATTATTTTTAAAATAAAAAATTAATTAATTTTTTCCCAAAAAAAAAAGAATTAACTTGTAATTTAATCTATCGATACCAGTGATACTATGCTTCCTTAAACATGTTTTATTTTTTAAATAATTAGTTTTTAAAAACTTATCTGCCCGGAAAAATAAAATGTGCCAATTGACAAAGGCCTATTGTCAATTTTCTCAAATGGGCCAATTGACAATGGCCCGTTAATAAAAATTAAGTAAAATTAACCAACTCACTCCCTGTCCCAGAAACTAAAACCCTAAATCCCCAAATGACGAACAAATTAAAAAAACCCTTAAAAAACTAGAACTCATGTTTTGATCCAAAAACGATAAAGAGAAGATTGCTTTCTTCGCTGCTCTCATCAACCTCGCTCTCAACTCCCAAAACCCCGTTCACTCCAATTCAACCCATCAAAGACTCAAAATTTAACAATTATATTGCAAATGGGGCATCTGGGTTTATGGGTATTAGGGCTTATAGTTTGTTGAGTTTGAATGATTTGAGAGACAATGTGCCAAGGAAGCAGAAGATAAGAAAAGGCCGTGGTATTGGGTCTGGTAAAGGAAAGACAGCAGGGAGAGTTCATAAAGGACAGAAAGCTAGAGGGACTATGAAGTTTGGTTTTGAAGGTGGACAGACTCCAATGCGGAGGCGTTTGCCCAAAAGGGGGTTTAAGAATCCCTTCAGTCTCACTTTTCAGGTATATTTTTCTGGTTTCTAAGTTGCCCATTTTGTTTATTGTTTTGAATTAGAAAAATAATGGGAACTTGGGGTCTGTTATCTATCGATTTCTAGTTTTTATTTAGAACAATGAAGCCTAATTTGTGTTTGAGATGAAAATATAGCTGTGGTTAAGTGATTGGCAATGACAGATTGTTAAAGTTCAAATCTTTTGCATTGAAGATTTGCTGCTGAGATTGATTAGGAATGAATTTTTTTTTTTTTTTTTAGGGATCGTAACGATGTGAGGCTAGTCTATGATTATATGTTAACTTGAAAGAATGCTGAACAAGACGCCCAGAATAAATTTTGGTGTCTTGTTATGAGTTTATGATTGTGTTACTCTGTACTATGTTTAAGCCGAGCTGTGCTAATTTGACTTGGCAAGATAGTGACCAAACTTTCTTTTTTTTTGAAAAAAAGGAACAAATTAAATCACCACTATCTCACTCTGTATGTACTATGTAGCCCAAAGTTATTCACATTTACAAATCATTCAAATAGTTTGCACCACTTAAGTATTTTCTCAAAATTGTGCGACCTAAATATCCTCGAGATTCTATATATATATGCAGCCACACTGGTTTTTGAGGGCTCCTCCTCTATAGTTGTAAGTAAGAACGTACAGAATTCATGATCATTTGATTATATCCTAGTTACAGCGTTGATAATATGTAGGGAAAAAGAGAGGAATTGGCAATTTGAATTATTGTGGTGTTTTTTTATCATTTCTTCTTAATTTTGAACAAAGTGTTGGGGTTTATGTTCTGTTTGGTTTATCAGAAGAATGGAGGAAAGTGAAAAGGAAAAACTTCTTACCTTAATGGAATGCAATCTTCTGAATGTAATAGTATTCTTTGTTGATTGATGATTTTTGTTTTCTTTGGTATTAGATAAAGAAAAACAATCTGTAAACAAAATTTCAAACTTTTTTTGCCTATTTATTAGTTGAATATTGTTAATGGTCTCTGTTCTTTTGCTCATTCCTTGATCATTTACTGCTATTCTTTCTCTGGCAGCCTGTAGGGTTGGGAAAAATTGCAAAACTTATCAATGCAGGGAAGATAGATTCCCATGAATTAATCACAATGAAAACCCTCAAGGTATGTTAGCATCCTTCTTTAGTTTCCAGGCTAAGCCATTTCCATGGTGGGCCTTGATTTGTGCTGATTGTTACAATTATTCCAATAGGAAACTGGGGCCATTGGGAAGCAGATAAAAGATGGAGTAAGACTGATGGGACGTGGTTTGGAGAAGATCCAATGGCCTATCCATCTGGAGGTAAATTTTATCTGAATGGTTTCTGCATTTATACTAACTTAACTAGGAGCCTTGATTTCAAGTATTCCTACGGCAATCCAAAGTGCTCTGAGGCATCATTTTATAATTTATAGTTTGTCCAAATCCTCTGAAATTTAGTTGTTGAATTTGTTATTCTTGTTGCTGTTGGTTGAATGATGATAGCATGAAATATGCTTGCAAGCTATTAAATAAAGAAACACTGGAGTTTTCATCAGGGTGGCACTATAGGTAAACAATGTAGTTAAAATCATGAAAATTAGAAAAGTATAGGTAAATATCTTTCCTTATAATGTCATGCTCTTATTATTTGCCATGTACATATTTAATACTTTACATCCTTATAACATCCAAACATTTTTTTCTTTGACAAATGAACTTGCTCTAATTTCCTATGCATTTCTTCATACTTGATCTGCCTATAAATATGGATTAAAACAACCTCATTTTCCAGTGTTACAATCTATAATCATCTAAGAATTACTTTATCTCAGCAAACGATTATGTAGAAGAGAAGAAAATGCAATGACTTTTTCCAAGATGGCATTTTTGGCCTTCCTTTTACTGCCAGCATCCTGTTAGTCTCTCTCTCTCTCTCTCTCTCTCTCTCTCTCTCTCTTATGATAATAATAATAATAATAATAATATTTAGGCATGTAATTGATGAAATAATATTAATTTGCTTGCATTTGTAGGTATTTTGGTGTCAAGTGTAGCAGGAGCAGATAGAATCGCTCAAGCTGCTTTATCTTGCAAAACTGATGATGATTGCAAGAAATACCCCATTGTGTGTCCAGGTTTTTACAAATGTTTTCAGAATAGTTGCAGATGCATCAATTCGTTAAAGATAAATCACCTCGGTTTGAGCTTGTAAAAGCCATGGTAATGGCTGCCACTGTCTTCTGTACTCAACCTTATGAGTTGCCATGAGAAGGCGATGTTGTTATCTAAATTCAATAAATTTTGGTACTTTTAAGAATAATGGTAATTTAGTCCACCAATTATATCACTCCATAATATACCAAGCAATTATATTCTGGCACATATTTACTATTAAATCAAATTGTCTTCCAAGTAAAATAAATTAAGATGATAAAATGTTATTTGGATTTTCTAATATTCATTTTGAAGATTTCATTATTGATAACCAAATGACATCTCATAATTATAAGCTGATGTAGAAAGAAAATCAAGAAGCAAAGACAGCTTACAATTTACCATACCATCAATGAATTGGTAACATGCATGTAGCTCTATATGCTACTTCAATTTTCAAAGCATCTCGTCGGGCTAGGGTTATAATTTTATAAAGAAATTACAAAAATGATTGAAAGATATCTTATTATGAAGATCAAGAAAGAAATGCTTCCTTGGATATATGAATGAATGAGTACAAAAACATATCAAAATGGAGCTGGGTCATCTTAAAATTTCGAAATTTGATTAATCAAATTTTCTGTTTTCTTTTTCTTTTTTACAAATAATTTCCTTTTTCTTTTTTTGTGCTCTTAACAATTAGGAAATCATTACATTAGATTTTTTTTAAGGGTTTTAAATATATCTAAATTAGTAAATTCGTATTTATTGTGTGTGAAGCCAGTCATTATCTAGTTTTTTTAAAATTGAATTAATAGAAAGAAATTGTAATAGTTTGGGTATTGTCCCAATTTTTATAGCAATAATCTTGCTGTACCACGCATCAAATGCCAATTATATATATATATATATTTTCCGATGGCAAGAATATCATCAAGCTAGCTAGTTTGCACATTAATTAAAATTAATTTTTTTCGAACAATTTTAAAAGCAGTGTACCACATTGATTTGATGCATTGAAAAAAAAATAACAAATTCGTTTTAATACAGACTCAGGATTTCTAATGGAAGGAAGAAGAACAAGACAGATTTGCTCAGGAAAAAAGAGAGGTGGGGAGGGTAGAATGGGCCAGTTTTTTGTTTTTATTTTGGGCTTTTATGTGTTTATTAACTTGTTTCTTCCTTGATTGACTTAGAACAATTTTGTATCTTGATTTGCAACTTTATCTGGGCTTTCTTTAAGCGACCAACTTCATGGAGGATTTTGATTTTGCAGCAATGAATGAAAAGTTCAAGAAGGATGAAATATGGGGTCAGCTAGGTAAAAGTAACAAATGTAAAACAAAAGGCGAAGGTGATGATAATGATAATGATAATGACAATGACAATGATGAAGATTCAAATGGATTGACAAAAGTTGAGACAAAGGTGAAGTTGCTAGCCATAGCAGAAAAGAACGAAAAAAAAAGAGTTATACCTGCCATATATTTTCCTAGTTTTCCCTTTTACCACCAACTCAAGTTAACTCTCTCTCTCTCTCTCCCTTTTTTTTTTTTTTCCGTTCCACAGCCTGTCTTTGGTAAGGATAATTTTTTTGATTCAGTTTCCCACAATTCACTCAATCACGACCCCTGGAAAGGAATGGTTAAATTCTCAGAACAAATGAAATTAGATAAAGAGGTACCATTGCTCCTCTGATTTGTCCATAGTTGTCCGCTAAATTTTTGAGCGGTGATTTCTTAACCTTATTTTATTTTTCTGGTGATGGATGCTTCAGACATTTGGAGATATTGAATCAAATCCTGGCGGCCGAGCACAAGGATCTCGTTATGGAAGGGGATATTGCCATGCAGGATGGGGCAGGGAAAGGGTAAGGGGGAGGGGACTGGCCATATGGAGTCGCGTTACCTAGCTGACAAGCTTTCTTACTTGGGCGTAAGTTGAAATAAATGCACTCTAAAACTGGGAAATATACTGTTTTGGTTTTTGCCATGAAATCTTAGTTTAGAATGCTAATGTTAGGGACCGATACTGATAAGGGAACAAAAAATGGTATTGGACAGGAGATATTGCCTCCAGTAGTAAGTTCTATGATTTCTGTTTTTTGGGGAACAAGTCTTTTTGCGGGTATCATTGTATGGGAATTGTGGAAATCTTATTAGGTAGTTAATTTCATTCATTGTTAATGTAGGGGTTCTTAGTATACATTCGTACCTCTTTTAATTCCTTCTTGAATAATAATTGACCATCGAACATGTGCTCTTGTTGATTGCATTAGTATACAATGCCCTGTTCTTTGCAGTATGATTCGAACCCTACTTGATTACTTCTTGTTATCGACCATTGAACGTGCACTTGTTCAATGATCGACCGTACAATGCCATGGATGGTTGTGCTCGAATTGTTCAGGCACAGGATTGCAGCTGGCAGTGGCAGGCAATACATAATGAGTGATAATCTTTTGTTTTTTGCCTTCCTTTTACCCGAACCAAACCTAATAACCGTGACTTACAGTTCTTTAACAGAATTACAGAAGTTGCATGTCAAAATTAAAACACTATCTATATACAATAGGTCATCTTTTAGTTGTTTATCTCAGAAAAATAGACCTTAATTTTGTTCTTCTCCCGATTGAGTTTTTTTAAAAAATATATAGAAATTAAATTAAAAAATAATATATATATATATATATATATATATATATTATGGTCTATAGATTTCATGTTCGGAGGTTT